GGACCCAGGACCCGCTGGAGGAACTATGGCTCTCAGCTGGCCTGGGAACGCCTCAGCATTCCCCCGGAGGAGCTGGAGGAAGTGTCTTGGGAGAGGGAGGTCTGGGCATCTTTGCTTAGACTGCTGCCCCCGTGACCCGGTTCCGGATAAGCGGAGATGGATGGATGGATGGATGGATGGATAAAAGGTTCTTGTGAAAGTGACTGTGATATGATGTGCTTTATTGTATGTAACAACCCTAAAAATTAACTACCACAAAAGCATTCAGCTCTTTATAGTCACGCTACACAGCTACTGTATATCTACACATACAGACAGTGACAAATGAAAGGTCGACCCAGCACAGAGTCCCAGTGAGGTGCTGGGCCACCATGTGACACCAGAACAGCTCCACCTTGACTCTCCAGGTCTCTGAACCCTCCTGGAGGGATGAACACCTTCCAACAGATGTTCCCTCATGTGGTGTTTTGATGATGGTGGTGGAGACGCTGTCTAACACGTCGCTCCAACATCTCCCATAGCTGTTCAACTGGGCTGAGACCTGGTGACTGGGAAGGCCACAGCATCTGGTTCACATCATGGTCACCCTCATCAGACCAGTCAGGGACCCCGGTGTCCTGTGGACGGGGGCACCATCATCCTGGAGGAGATCAAATTTTCTTTTCATTTGTCAGCCACTTGTATATTTGAGTTTATTCAGGTGAATGGTCTGCTCAGGTAACTGATGTGTATTGATTGGTTGATTTCTGATTGGCTGTACCAGGTATGAACACCAGCCATTTGTCTCCTGCCTGGCTGGCCTCTATGGTTGCCAATGGAGACGATACCAAAGAGCTCGGGCGCAGCCGGGAGAGTGCTGCTGCAGCAAGGCAAGCACACACACAGCACTGTCTGTCTGTAGTGTGTTGAGTTTGGTTGGTTTGCTGATCATGCAGTGAGTATTGATTCCCTTGCTGGGTTCTGTTGGCCTGCTGACTCCAACAGTCAGTTAATGCTTTTCTCTGGCAAAATATCATCACATATGTACTTTGTCAGCTTGTATCAGAATATACTGCTTCCTTTTGCAGTTTGTAAGGAGGCTGACTTTCTCTGTACCTGCCAGATTGTGTAACATAAATGGAGCACTGTTATGCCTCTATGACTGTAAATGAAAACATTATTTTCACTTCAGAACTTTAACCCTTAGACCCAAAAGCATTTTAAAATGTAAACACCTTGACTACAGGCTCATTAAGGTTTATCTAAAAACAATACATTAAACAAATGTGAAATGATCAATGTGAACTTCAACAATTTAGTAGTTAATCATTCAGAAAAGTGAGTAATGATTTTCTTTGGGTAGAAGTAATTAAGTCTGACAAGCCATGATCTCTGTATGTGTGTTACAGGTGGAGTGTGGCAGCTTTGGCCTCCTGATCCTCACCTTCTTCCTGAGTTTTCTGTTCCTTTATTTCTGGAGTGAAGCTCAGAATGACTACAATGACTTCGACTGGTGGGTCATACACAGCACATTATTAATACTGTACATGCTGGCAAGTGCACGCACTCATGCTAATGTGTGTTTGTGATTTGTATGGCATGTGTTGTCATGTTTGGGTTAGGCTTAGTTGTCTCATATAAAAAAAAAAATAACATAAAGGAATGCACGATCATCCTAACAGTTAATCAGTGTATGAAGAGACCAACTCGTCATTTGAACTTGGTTCACATCATGAAGAACTTGGTATGTGATAGCTGTTGACTGTTGTTCTTGTGCCTTGTCAGGTTTAATTTCGGAACTCTTGGTTTCTGGTTTCCCTGGTCTTTGGTCCTGCTGGTCATTGCTGCTGCTCTCTTCACGTACATCGCCCTACTACTGGTAGGCACATTATAATTTCAGCTGGTCTAGTTTAGCACTTGCACAAATTGCACATCCCTGAGTATACTGAGAAATTTGATAGAAAACACTTTGCTGTGTGTCACTTTATTTTATTTTATTGTCACTAAACCATCATCAGCATCAATTTTAGTTTTAGTTTACTTTCTCCTTAGAGAGGCACAAGTTTTATTAAACCTGCTAAAGTATAACAGGATAATGGATTTATTTAAAAGTAAGTTGACATAATATTGCGGCAAAAATTGTCTTAACGTTCGGTGAGTGCAAAATAAAAACTTGATACCAACTTTGAAGCTTGATACGCATTTATTTCTGCAGAAAGGAGAAACTCTTACAGTGTGTCAAACATGACACACTGAAGGAGAAGCTTTCCAGGCGAGAGCTGCATTTTATACATAGACCTGAGCTTTGCTCGTGGTTTCGATCAGTTAAGGTCATCTGTCACACAGGAAAGAAGCTGTCTCACAAGCACACAAACAACTATATATAAAAACCTGCATAGCAACAATCAGTATATTAATAAGGGCGCTAATAACCATTTCCCATCACACATAATGATAATTTTTTTAAAATGCTGAAGTTGAGCAGAAACCATATTGGATCTGGACAGATTGGTTTGTAAATAAACAGTTCAAAAAGAAGCACAAACCTTGGAGAATGGTGTTGCCTGAGGGAGTTTTATGTCACTATCTATCTATGTCACTAACTATCTAAACCCTGTTCAGGTGCTGGCAGTGTGTCTGCTTTCTGAGGGTCAAAGGTTGTACCTCCACTGGAGCCACAAGGTATAAACACACACAAACTTAACACAAACACTGACGTACAGTTCCCTTGTTGAAAGTTGTCATAATAAATTGTCCCCTTGTTTTTGTGTCAGACGGGCATTATGGTGGCCTTGGCGTTCTCCATCACAGCCACCGCCATCCTATCTGACCTCTGGAGCAAAGAATGGAAGACTCTTCTTCTCTCCCTGCAGGTTAGCCAATCACAGCAAAGAATAGCAAGATTTTCTTAAATAATTTGCACACACCTGTATGAAAATAATTTGTGCTCCAGTGAAATGTTTTGCTACTGTGCTGACGTTGTTCACATCTTTCTTTATTTTTCAGGTGACAGCACCTTTCCTCCATGTGGCGGCTCTCTCACTAATGGCAATCGTGTCCTGGCCAGTAGCATTGCACTTCTTCCGCATGAACAAGAAAGGTAAGCTAGCTGATCGCGGAGTGTTTATCTTTGTCAGCTTTGAAGCTAACACTGGAGGTCAGATCCTGTTGTACATGAAAATGCTTTAAATTTGGGAGAGAGCACTCTGATTAATTTAGAGCAGCAACTGGAGGGAGGAAAAATCTCAGGGGCCTTGTTGAAATGACATCTGATTGCTGGAAGACGGTGAAGGGTTAGGTCTTTAGTTGTGGTAGTATCGAGCTGCTCCATCCACTGGGAAGACTGTTAATCTGAAATCAAACATACCCCTCAGCATCATGACACACTTGTCTGGCATTGATTGTACAGCTGTAGACCTCCCAGCCATCGTTTCTCCTTTGCCACCTCTTAACAGAAAATCAAAGTCATTCTCCCACTCAGCTTTTTCACTCTTCTCTCTGACTCCCTGATGTTTCCATCTTCTTGCATTCACTGTTTCTTTGGTCTCTACCCTCTTTTCATGCCTTCTCTGTTTCTTTTGCTGCTGTCTATTTCTTTGTACTTGTCTTTGCATCACTCTTTCTGTTCTGTCTTGCACCTGACTGCCTTTTCCTCTCTGAATGGCTTTGACCTCCATGTCTCTGCTTCTGTTTTTGGTTGCCACGGTGACTGTCTCTGGTTGCCATGGTGATTCAACGGGTGGAGAGATGCTGAGTCATGTCTGTTGTCCCCTGGCAGGAGAGAAAGATTTGCCAAAGCACATGATTTAGAATAGTGCTCCCATTTTTGCTGTAATGAGATGAACATTCACCTAAGCCTGGATGTGAAAGGGCAGAGTTGACAGGCTCCTTCTGTAGTTCTGTTAGTTGAACGAAGGGAGGGGTGCTGGGTTAAGCTGGAAACACTCTTAAGATAATTAAAACCTACAAAGACTGTACATGTCACATGCACTTACAAAAGCACCTAGGAATAAATACAGGGGAAAACACACTGAATGACAGGGAGACAACAGGAGTCTCGCTGCAAGGTAGTGTCCAAATCCACCACGTACACAAATTCTAACGAGGCTGTACTGGAGGATGCAGGTTTTAACAATGATAAGGACTTTTTTTTTTGTTGTTGAATGAACAATATAAACGGTGTCAGTGCATCAGTGTCTTGCTCTAGATCTCTTTAACTGTCATATACCTGCATATGTACCCAAACTTTGTTTTGCAAAATATCTATCATTTTATATAACCTCCCCAAAACTGATTTTTGTATATTTTTAACATTTAATTTTATTAGTGGTTTGTGTTCTGCAGTGTGTCAGGTGGCTCTCCTGGGTCTCTACCTGTCTGTGCTGTTCTCTCTCTACCTGGTTCCTCTGGGAATGTACTCTCCCTGCATTAAAGAGGCTGGGACCCTGGGGCCTGCCCCAGCACTCATCGGACACAGAGGAGCTCCAATGGTGAGACTGAACTGGACCGTGACATCTGTGGCTGTCTGTCCTGTTTCAAGTCTTGTGTTTTACTACTAATCTTGATTATTATTATACATTGTGGATGTTTCTGACTGTGTGCATATGTGTGTTATTTATCACTCTGGGAATGTTTTTGTCTCTGTGTGTGTATTATAGCTTGCTCCAGAGAACACCGTCATGTCCTTTGAGAAGGCAGTGGAAGCTGGAGGAGAAGGGCTAGAGACTGATGTCACCATCAGGTATTAACTGCTCTCACCTCTCTCTGTGTGTGTGTGTGTGTGTATCAATAGAACATGTATTTTTGTAATACCTGTAGCTCTCCACAGGCCTGGGTTTTTCAGTGGCCAGTGCCCATCTCTAGAGAGGCCGATGGCTGATATAAAATGCTGATATGTTGTTTTTTTACTTTTTGCATCAGATAAAATACAGCAATTTAATAATAACAAATGGGTCTCAGATTTGCAGAAGTTAAATATTTTTAACACTAATGAATTATGTTCAGTTACACAGTCAAGTGTTTTGTATGGCTTTCTATTAGTCTGTGTATTTACTGACATGCACATAACTCGTTTCACTTGTGTGATTAATTGCGACAACAGGCTCACTAAGGTTGCTTGTTTGTATGTTTGTTCATGAATAAGACAGATGGCTTTATGATAGAGTTCATTTCATTGTTGCTTCAAGCTTTGGAGAGTTAAGTGCTTTTTGGTGACTTTAATCTTCGTGTCTTCTGCTCCCTTCATTTTCTCTCCCCTTCTTTTTTCCTCCTTCCCACATTCCTCTCCTTTATTCATATCCCCTCGTCACCGCCTGTCTTTCATTTGTGTCTTGCATTTTCCCTCGCTTACATCCCGATTCTTCACTTGTCTGTCTTGTAATGTGTCCACCGCGTCTCTAGTTATGATGGTATTCCCTTCCTGATGCATGATTCCACTCTGAGGAGAACCACTAACATTGCAGAGGTTTTCCCAAATCGAACACTCCTTGATGCCTCCATGTTCACTTGGGCTGAGCTACAGCAGCTGAATGCTGGCGATTGGTTCTTATCAGTGAGGCTCACAAACACATACACAAACACATAATTTGTTGCTGAGACAATTGTAAAGTAAAAACACCTGACAGCCCCTGCCACACACGCTTGTCTCTTACAGAGGGATCCATTTGGGACTGTGTCGTCCCTGTCTGAGGTGGACCACTACCAGGCCCAGAACCAGTCTATTCCCTCACTGGCCCAGTTCCTGGAGGTAGCGGCCCGTAGTGGCAAATTAGTGCTGTTTGACCTGCGCAGGCCACCGTACGGGCATCCTTACAGCGAGTCCTACATCAGCACCACTTTGCAGGTGGTGCAGGCCCACATCAACTCCTCACAGGTGGCTGCACAGAGTAGATGGATGGGAAAAAATCTATTGTGCTTCCATGTGAAAGAAAATAGTATTGTATATCTTTATGGATATGGTTGTGGTACAATGTTGTGTATATATTTGATACATTAATAACTCTTGCTAAGTTTTGTACTCTGGGTGTGTTTTTCAATGTGTGTGTAGGTGCTGTGGCTGCCATCTAAAGACAGGGAGCTGGTCCAGGCTGTGGACCCAGACCTGCAGCAGACCTCTGGAGCAAAGGCTTCAATTCAGGAACTGACAGACGCCCATATCACCAGACTGAACCTGCACTACAGCACTATGTCTCAGCAACAGATCAGGTACCCACATATATTCTTTCAGCCATAACAAACAACAGCGCTGTTAAATGTTGGATGATAAAAGAGAAGTTTAAATTTACATTTTTCTAACAACAAAACAGTATGCTTTGATTTCAGTGAAGAATTGTGTTTTTGATTGTGTTGCTCACTGCTGTGTTCTTGAAAAGTGTGCGATGTAGAGTAAAATAAGAGTTGTTCAGTCTCAGGGTGAATTTTGCTGTCAGGAGGGTTGCATAAAACTGGCACAACAAGTGCAACAACTTTGTATTAAGATGAAATCCCCAAATTTTAATGTACTGTTTTAAACTGATCCTCAGTGTGAAGTCAAAGCCAGAAAAATGAACAAGATTAAAGAAATTATGCAAATTCAAGTCTTCTCTACAGAACACTGATATATCTGTATGTCTCTCCCTCACTATCTTTGTTTTTCCTCTGTCTCAACACACAGTTCATTAGACTTTCAAAGGACGTTTCATCTCTACAGACACGTGTGTCTGTCAGGTTAATTTAATACTGCCATTGTGATAAATTACAACATTCTCTTCCTCCTTCCCTCTCTCCACCCTTGCATTCCTTCTGTCTATTGTTTCTTTCCCTCTCATTGACCTTCCTCCATCTTGTAACCAACAACTCCATTTTTCATATATTCCTTCCTCCTCTTCTCCTCC